ATTGAAATGGGGATTGAGGCCTTCTTTGACTTCATCATTTGTTCGAGGTTCAATCAAGTTGATTTAAAATCTCATAATATCTCTCTTGAGCATTATGAAGATGAGACTAATACTAGGCCTTTGGAAGGTTTGAGGTTAGGCAGATTTGACTAATGTTGCTCCTTCAAAATACAATGAACAAATCATAACTTTTTATTTTCATCAATTAGCATAATTTGCTCATTTGATAAATCATCATTGAGGGGCGAATCTATAGTAATATGATATGTAGCAAGAAAATCTATGAGGACGTTTGTTTACCAATTTTTCGAAATACATGTAATTTCAAATTATAGGCCGAACCAATGTTTAAAATTGCGTATTCGGGTATTGAGGCGTTTTACATTCGTGAGGCGAGGCGTAAGCCTCAAAATCAAAAGATTGCGTAAACATAAAACAATAAATTTTTTATATACTAATGTGTGAATAATATAAAACATAAAAAAGCATAAGATATGAAGTGAGATCAAAATATCTCAATAATAAGACAACATGAAATATAGTTCAACTCAAAATTCTATCTTTCCCAAATCCCAGTATTCTTTTCATTAACATATAATTCCAATTTCCATATTGATATTAAACATAAGATATGAATTGCGCAAAGGCAGGCCTCAAGGCGAGCCTCATATTGCGCAATTTTAAACCATGGGCCGAACTTTTATTTCACGGGCTATATTGATTTTATTATAGCTTAATGATCTATCCATAAAAGAGAACATATCATAGTTAGAGATGTTATTGGCTAGCAATTTTAATACATGAATTAGAAAGTAATTTTTTAACACGCTTTACTAATAACCCAAAAGTCAATGCAAATATGAATTTGATCTTTTTTTTTCATTTTTCCTGACACAGTTTGGTTTCTATTCTCTAATAAAGCCCACTTCAAAGAATAAAGCCCACTTCAATGAGTATTTTTTTTATATATGTTGTTGCCTACTCTTAAATTTTAATTCTCATTTGGCTTAGGCTTATGTCATAGATGTAGCAACTAGGTTAATATATAATCTTTGAATTGTCCATCAATGGATAAGATAAACTTCTTAGCATATGTCTAAGCAAAACAATTTCTGAATTCACAAAGTAATGCTTATATTTCTTCGATTTTAACATCAAATAGGAGAGAATTGATGAAGGTTAGACAAGGATTTTTCTCGATTCTCAAATCAATTTCTATCAATTCATCTATCGTGGCAGCATTCCCATTATATTCAACTTCTTTAGATGTAGGTTTGGTTTCTACGTCTTTATCATCTAAGAGATTGACCTCATAATGATCATCTTCTTCATTGTTTTCGAACTCAATTTCTTCTTCTATTATTATATAACAAGTATCTCGTCAAATATATTTTTGTAAAATAAATCCTAGGCCTTTGTATAATTTGCACTTCTCTATGATACCTATGGATTTTTTTGACATCATATTCTTTGAATGTTTTGAGTTCACCACTTATGATTCATTGTATGAACTCCTAATCTACAAATTATTTTTAAATTATTGGAAGATAGTATTTAGGCATCCTTTTGGAAATATTTCCTTATATTTGATACATTTCACAAGCCAATAAAAATTTTCATCTTGGCAGCACTCAAATTTGTATAATAAATTCCCTGATCTATTAGTCTCGTGTAAAGGGAGTAAGCAAAATATTTTTCAGATCGTCGATGTTTTGAAACTTATATGGATTAACCGTTTTCAAATGATGAGAAGGCTTGGTTTAGATTTCTAGTCGAGTTTTGAAAAATAAGAGGGAGAAGTGGTGGAACTTGAGCCATCCAATTGAAGATTGCTATGTCTTCACCCAAGTAGCCTCTAAGGGCGGGCCCCATCCAACTGGCGCTGGGTCCGCGGGGAACACTTCTCCAACGCCTTCAGAAGTCAAGGAAAAGCTCGGGCATTTTCTATCTTCCTTTGGGAAGAAGAGGGCCCGCTTGGATTTTCAAAACAGAATTGCATACCAGCTGAACCTGTCCAATGCTTCTCGTCAGAAGCTGGAGTTGTTTGAGGCAAGAGTTGAATACTGGGTGGACTTTGGAGCATGTATTCAATGTGAATGGTGAGAGGGACCAATAGGTAGATGTGTCGTGAATGTAGAATATATATATATAAATTAAATTTTAATGGACAATGGGATCTCAATATATTTGATGGATGAGACTCTTTTTGGTGCTACACTAATGACTGCAATTTAGGGGATTTTAATAGGAAGGGTTGAGATGATTTATTTCTTATTAATTACATATATGAGTCTTAATAACAACAACAACATCAATCCTTTATCCCACTACGTGGGGTTGGCTGCTTGAATTCTTTTTCTCCATTGTGTCCTATTAAAAGTCAAATTTTTGTTTAAATCTAATAGAGAAAAATCATTTCTAATATTTTCTAACCAAATCTTTTTAGGTCTGTCTCTACCTTTCTTAACATAAGTCAAATCTAACACACCTACTTTCCTAATCGTGTCATCGGAAGGCCGTCATTTTATTTGACCAAACCATCTAAGGCGACTCTCTAATCTTATCTTCTATTGGAGCTACTCCAACCTTTTCACATATATGCTCATTTCGTATCCTATCTCTAAGGGTAAAGCCTCTCATCCACCTGAGCATCTTCATCTCTGCCACACTTAACTTAGTATTATGCTTCTCTTTTAATGGCCAACATTCGGCACCATAAAGGATTGCAGGCCTCACCGCCATCTTATAGAATTTTCCCTTTAAGTTTGAGGGATACTTTGTTATCACACAACAAGCCCGATGCATTCCTCCACTTCAACCATCCAACTTGAATTCTGCTGATAATATCCCCATTTATTTCACCATGACTCTGAACAATAGATCCAATATATCTAAAACGTGTACTCTTATTAATGACTTGATCGCCCAAAGTCACAATCCCCTCACTAGGTCTATTACTACTAAAATTACACTCTATATATTTCGTTTAAGATCTACTCAAGCGAAAACCTTTAGACTATAAGGTTGACCTCCATAATTCAAGTTTACCTTTAAGTTCCTCTCTAGTCTTATCAACAAGAAGAATATCATCATCAAAAAACATACACCAAGGTACATCCTCTTGCAAATGTCTAGTGAGAACATCCATGACTAAAACAGAAAAATATGGGCTTAAGGTTGATCCTTGATGTAACCCAACCGAAATAGGGAAACATTTGGTCAAACCACCTTGTGTTTGAACAAAAGTAATAGCTCATGCATACATATCTTTAATGATTTGAATATAAGCGTTATTAACTCCTTTCTTTTCAAAAACTCTCCATAGCACTTCTCTTGGAACTTTATCATATGCTTTTTCTAAATCAATAAATATTATATGTAGATCCTTTTTATTTTCTCTATATTTCTCCATCAAACCTCTTAATAAATGTATGGCTTCCATAGTTGACCTACCCGCATGAATCCAAATTGATTTTGCGAAACATTAGTTTCACGCCGCAACCTATGCTCTATAACTCGCTCCCATAGTTTTAAAGTATGACACATTAACTTAATTCCTCTATAATTAACATAATCTTGTGCGTCGCCTTTTTTCTTAAAAATATGAATTAACACACTCATTTTTCACTCATCTGACATTTTTTAGTCTTTAAAATAGTATTAAAAAGTTTAGTAAGCCAAAAAATTTCTTCATCTCTTAAGCATTTCCACACTTCTATTGGAATATCATCAGGTCCAACAGCTTTTCCACACTTCATTTTCTTTAAAACCTCTCTAACTTCCGTTGTACTAATACGCTGATAAGAATATAAATCTTTATTTTCATTTAGGGTGCTAAGGTCACTACAGTCAATCTTTTTTTCACATTCTTCATTAAAAAGTTTAGCAAAATATCTCATCCACCTTTGTTGAAAATCATTTTATAAGAAAAGTACTTTTTGATCTTAATCATTCATAGACTTCACTTGAACTAAATCCTTACTACTCATATATGAGTCTTAATAAATTAAGAAAATTAATATGCTATTATAATTGTAGTGGTAATTTTAATTTATTTAAGATTTCCTTAAATCTAATTGAATTACCATGTATATTTAATTAATATTATTAAATATAATGGCAATCTAGTTTTATTTATTTATTTTTTTGGGACATTTACATACATACCACCCTATATTATTTTATTTACATATTTAACACCTAAAACTTTAATGTTACATAAATACCACTCATAGTTCATTTTCATTTCAAATATGAGTGGTAGAAATGAAATATATGAGTAGTAGGAAAGAAATATGAGTGGTATATTTGATATTAAAATAATATAAGATGGTATGTATGTAATATTAAAGTTTTAGGTGTTAGATATGTAAATATAATGGTATAAAGTGGTATGTATGTAAATTTCCCTTTAATTTATAATAGCAGAATAGTTTTTTTTTTCCTTAGTTGTATATGTGTGGTTTTTACTCACAATTTTCTCGTTCACACGCCAGATTTCATTATCTTGCTCATGTTACTAAATTTACAACACATGTAATATGAATGTGATTTCTTGCTATTTATGATGTTTAGGACACATTAGCACAGTTTATTTCGAGAAGCGTAGTTTTGAGTTGAACTTGTACGACGTGTTTGCTATATATTGTTTCGGTTGATTTCGATCGAATTGATTGTAGAATAGGATTGGAGGTCAATTGAGTTAAGTCCTAACTGGCTGAGGAAGTTCTATTATCTTAACCTGGCATGTATCCATTAATGCAGGGAGAGAATTCTCTTTTGTGCTTGTATTTCTTCTGATATGCATATATATCATCCTAACTTTTCTTTTCTCCAAAACTGCTGTTTTTATCGATAACACAATCCCTACAAATACCTGGTCTTAATAATTTTCAAAGCTGCAGATTTCATTTGTTGGTGAAGTTCCATACTAGTTAATATAGCATCTTGTGTCAAGAAAACATGAACAAGCTAATATGGTTGTCTCCCTTCCGGAACAGGAAAAGGATCTGCTACTGGTTTAGACTTCATTAGGACTACAAATGGGGGGCCTCTCTTCCACAGCATTGCTCTTCAGCAATATATACTCCTTTGCTCCCAGGTGATTGACTATGGTGTATAATGCTTTTCCCCTCAAACCAGGGAAGTTTATCTATCGTCTTATTGGTCCACTGAACAGACTTCTTAGTCGTAATTCATATGTGCCAAAATGGTGATTTTATTGACATTTTCTTGCTTGTACCTTGCATTGGAATTCTTCCTCTAATATGGTTAGATGATTATAGTTCATCCATATATGTGGCAATTGCTTTGAACGGTCGTAAGATGAAGATAAAATTGATGTAATTGTAGTAGAATTCACTTAAAGTTGTCTGTTAGATGCCTGTCTATGTTGAAGGTATCGATACAGGTTTTGGGCTGTATGATCGACACAAGTTTGATTTCAAATTGGTGCGAATTCTTACGGTTAATGCTAGTAGGATTTTCATTTCAATATAGTTGTAAGACCGTTCATCGCTGAAAAGGCTTGTTATCTTGATCCTCATATTATGGTTTAATGTTTGATACAGTCACGTGTAGTAATGTACATGCGAACCTATTTATTCATGAATTGCAATAAAACATATATATGAGAGCTTTTCCTGTACTACACGCTATTTTTTTTTGGTTGTTTTTCCACGATAAATTTGTCCGCATATATGCACAGAACTTCAATGGCTACGTTTTATGAACCTGCTCTTGTTATTGACTGCCTCTTGAAATTTTTGTTTTGGTAGTCTCGATACTCTAGGAAGTCCAGCTACTAAATTTTGTATTAATTTCAATCTATTTAATAATCCCTACATTAATAAGGATAGAAATACAAAATCCAGTTAGATATCCTCTATTTTTACTAGTCTGTCTTCTTCCAGGCATTTATGAATGTGAGATGGATAATTATGAATTTTGCAAGATTTTTTCTTTTCACACAATCCACTCTCTGTATATCACGAATTCTTGCATGCTGGCTGGTTGGAAATGACTTTAAAGTCGAAGAACTGGTGCGGCTATCTTGAGGAAAATAAAGGTCGGATTACAGTAGGGAAAGAACATGGAGTTGGATCTTCAGCATTCATTCTATTTTTGCAAACCTTGAATATTGGTGTTAAGATGTTGGGCTAAATAATGGCTGTACATGTGCTCCTTTTATTTTTTCATGATTTCTTCACGCTTTTCTTATAAAAAAGATGGATTTATTCCGTAATCCATGAAGGCGACAGCTCGTATTAGAGGATGCTTAACCAAAGGTGAAGTACAGTAAATTAAACATAAATTTGCTAGAAGAAAATTTTGGCATCATTGTTTGACTTCTGATGCTTTTATTTTATTTATCATTTTTAATGAAGAATGTGAAAATGCGATTGACTTTGATGATTTTAACATTCTAAAAAAAAATAAGGATTTCCGATGCTTTCTGAATAATTAACTATTAGTGGATTATGCAGGTTCTGGAAGGAGGATTCAAAGACAAACCAGGGAAAGCAAGGGATCACTACCACTCATGTTACTGTCTCAGTGGTCTCTCAGTGAGTCAGTATAGCTTTTCAAAGAGCGCCGATTCACCGCCGCCACCCAATGCAGTCCTCGGTCTGTATTCCAACTTGTTAGAGCCCGTTCATCCTCTTTACAATTTAGTGCTGGATAAGTACTACAAAGCTCATGAATTCTTCTCTGTTATGAGTTAGATAGCATTCCTCTCGTTTGCGTGTATGTCATTGTCCTTTACTGGCTGCAGAGTTGTCCATCTTAGATATAATCTCAACAGACGCAGTGTTTGTGTTAAAAATATATTTTATAAGTATAACATAGCTTTTCAATTGAATCTCTAATGGTCTCTTGGATATGCATATATATTAAATTTGGTAATTCTGTTCTTGCTTAAGTTTACAGATTTGCTGCATTGGTGGTATCATTGCTGATGCTCAAGGAACAATGAATATTGCAGTTACCAAAATTTCACCTTTTGAGGTATCAGACCCTCAATAATTTCCCTAGAAGAATCATGCATGAGAAGCCTTCTTAAGCATTAGACCCTCAGCATGATAGTTTTCAAATTTTAGCACTCATTTTGCTTTAGTGAGAGAGAGAGAGAGGAACTTTTATTCGGTCCGGTGAACGTACACTCCTCTACGTTCGGCCACCAATATTTTAGCGCCACGTAGCATGAAGAAAAGTCACCGACCCGACCCGCTATTTTTTGGGTTCTCGCACGTGCGTTTTTTTAAATCCTTGACGAACCGAACAACATCCCATCACCTTTTGGATATATTTCAAATACCGAGCAAATACCAAGTTGTACCTAGTTTTTTCTAGCAATATCGAGCAAATACCTAGCAATACCGAGCAAATCCCTAGCAATACAGAACAAATACCTAGAAATACCAATCAAATACTGAGTTGTACCGAGTTGTACCTAGTTTTTTCTAGCAATACCGAGCAAATACCTAGCAATACTGAGCAAATCTTGAGTTGTACCGAGTTATAAAAAAACTCGGTACAACTCGGTATTTGCATGGTATTGGTCTTCACAGAGCGGTATTTCTCATTTTTGCAAAGCAATACCTAGCAAATACCAAGCAATACTGAGAAAATCGCGAATATAGCATTCCCGGGTTCCGCTCCGGGTCAAGTCGTCGGGCCGCGCGGTTTAGAGTAAGAGCACGTGGCGACATGTTATTGGCGGCCGAACGTAGCTCTACGTCCGGTCAGAGGACGTAATAATTGTTCGAGAGAGAGAGAGAGAGAGAGAGAGAGAGAGAGAGAGAGAGAGAGAGAGAGAGAGATGAATATTAAAATGATATGAACACTATTGCAACAAGTATTTATCTCACTAAATGATGTATATGCGGCGGTCTTTCGATGGAGCAATTATTACGTCCGGTCATCGAACGTGTTCATAGGCCAATAACCACGCGTCACGTCACCTGAAACTCGGTATTGTTCGGTATACATTCAAATACGTTTGGATTTGACCGGACGTAATAATTGCTCATTTCGATGACCCCTTTTGGAAAGATGTATTAGATTGGAGTTATGTTAAGAGGGATTGTGGTAGACCTAAAAAGTCTTGATTAGAAAATATAAGAAATGACATTTCTTTAGTAGTTTCAAATGATAGTTTAACTTTTAATATGGTACAATGGAGAAAAAGATTCATGTAGTAGACCCTACATAGTGGAATAAAGGCTTGTTGTTGCTGATGCATTATATCTTATTAAAATGAAATTCTCATTTAAATCTAATAATTAAATTTCATTTTAATATTTTTAATTAAGTTTTTTTAGATCTTTTTTTACCTTAATATTGGTTGCATTTAATGCAGCTATTCTCTTAATAGGGTCATGGGAAGGCCTAAAGTGATATAAGATATAAATAAATTAATGAATGTAGTAGTTTATGTATATATATTTCTTTATTTTAAAGGAGTGGTACAATATTAATCTCTAACGTCTAAAATCTCAACATCTAAATTGCAATAAATGGCGAATAGATGTTGCTGGTAATTGTAGGGGGATCATTCTGCTCTCTCTAGTACTGAGTTGTAATTCTGCTCCTTTTTTTTTCTTTTCTTTTTTTTTTTTTTTGTGGGAAAATTATGGGCTTTTTTTGGTGGGTAAATTATGGGCATTAGCATGGGGAGAGAAACGTTGGATAATATTAGAATTATACAACAAATCCCCCAAAGAAACCTCATTTCACCAATGATCCCAATAAAGAGAAATATGACTCTTTGGAGAAATGAAAAAAAAATAATAATAATTTGCAGAAACAGTCACCCTCATATTTTGTTCTCAAATTTTTGAGCAAATACCACTTAAATTTTTCCATGGTGACCCATATTTGGCTTTACAACAAACAGCCAGCATACTATCTCTATTATTTACAACATGCAAATTAGAGAGCAATTGTATGTATGATATAGAGTCCAGGGAAAGAAAGCCTAGACAACCTATCCTCCTAGGCAAACATGTGTTTTCCCAAGAAAAGAATTAAAGCTTTTTAGCATTAATATTTCCATGGAACAAAAATCTGGTACATACCTCATCAAAAAAACTATAGCAAGATTTTGGAATTATAACCCCATGAATCCTATAGGCAATAGAATTCCAACAAGTGAATCTAAGATATTGAATCCTTCCAATGAATGAAAGTAATTTGGCTTTCCAATCATATTAAAAAGTAACAATTATCTGAATGAGATGGTGGAACATAAGAAAAAAAAAATTATAGCCAACTGGGATTGCCAAGATAAGTTAAAAAATTCACAATTGATGATATATTGAGGATAACAATAATATCTGAGATGTCAGCATTGTTTGGAGCTGTGATAATCGAGCTTTTAGCATTGTTGACTTGAAGCCCAGAGGTAGAGGCAAAATTATTCAAAATGACCTTAAGGGTATTGTCATTAGCCTGTTGGCTTCACCAAAAACCAGCAAATTATCAACATGCATGAGATGATTAAAATAATTTCCCACCATAGATAATCCATTAAATGATAGACCTTGAACTAAAGACTCCAACAAGTTAGTTAAAGCATCCATAATAAAACAAAATTGGTAGGGAGACAAGGTGCGTTTAGGTAAACTTCCAAATTGAAAGAAATACTTCATAGCCAGAAAGACATCATTCCCTAAAATATTCTAAGGAGTTTTATAGAATTCGAAAGAAAGAAAATCATGTCCAAGAGTGTAGATTAGGAAGGGGATGCAAATTGATCTCCTCCATAGACATTGGGGTTATTAAAAATGAAATAAGATGAGGTGGAACCATCTAACCAAGAGGGATGAAGGAATGTCTACTAAGGATGAGCTTGGAGGATTATTCAAAGTAGAGAAATGATTAGCCAAAGCTTCAGCAATATCAACAGCAGTGAACTTACCAGGTATAATATTAATCTCACTTATACGACTATAATTTTTCATGATATTTATTTTAGCAAATATAAGATCATCCTCTGTCTCTTAGAAAGGCACTTAGCTTGCACTCTTTGAGACACACAGAAAGCCCAACTAGTAAAGCAATTAGCAACTTGATCATTGCAAAGTTTAAGAGAAATGTTTAACTGAGCATTATTTGGCTCAATATAAATAATCTACATAAGGTTAGCTTACTGGGAATGCAGATCACCCAGTTAGCATAAATATGATGGACAGAAGCCAATTGCTTTGATTTGATAGTATTCTTTAAGAGCTTGAGCTTACCATAAAAAGAAGAAATATGATTTCCAAGTTTATGAGAAAAGAAAGCTTGGATAAGAGCATTCCAATACCATCCAAATTTAAGCCATAATTTCTTAAACAAGAATATGCGTTTAGAATGAAAGAGATTGGTTGTGGTGAATTTTCTTACGTCTCAAGTCCACTGAAAGCATAAAGTATTTGGTTGTGGTTACTAAAGACATAGGACTCGAGACGTAAGAAAATTCACCATGCTCGAGTCTAGAAGAAATGAAAGAGTGACACCTGAAGACTAAACAAATAGAAAATTGGATGGTATTAAGTATTATAGGAATGCCAAATTGTTTTATAATTGAACTTTTTTTTTCTACTAGGACTTTAGAACAATTTGTTGAGCATTAGTCAATTATGTGATAAGGGGATATTAAGGCTTGATTTGGGATAGTTTTCTTACTAGTTTCTAAAGTAACTTTTTTGTATAAAAATTTCTTAAAAGTGGTTAAACATAAGTGACCAATGTTGTCCCAAATGAAGAATAAATGTTATTCTAATAAATATTTATGATTATTGAATAACAAATCTATGCTAGAAATGTTATGAGCGAATTATATGTATATTATTAATCTTGATTATATTAATAAAATAAGTGAAGTGCCTTCCTTAAGGATAATTTTAGATGATTCATGTTTAGCATAATAGATTATGTCATAGTAGCATGATAACACTATGAAAAATCACAAAATTGGTTGGAAAAATCTAAGATTTTATAGAAAAACACTTATGTGATGCATGTTAATTAGGAAAGCATGTATAAACATCATTTCTCTCAATAAAGGAAGTTATTATAGATAGGATACTTGAGATTGTACACATGAACTTATTTGGACCCATTAGAACCATAAGCTTAGGAATTCAATCATATAGGTTTGTGATTGAAGATGATTACCCAAGAATTACATGGGTTAAATTTATGGCTAATAAAATGGAATATTTTAAGGAAATTAGAATATTTTCTATATGGTTTAAGTGAAAAAAAGATGCATCATCTTATCCATCTAAAGTGATCATGGAGATAAGTTTGAGAATGCAAGATTTGAGTCCTTTTATGAAGAACTATGAATAAATCATAATTTGTTTGCACTTAGAACCCCCTAGTATAATTGAATAGATAAAAGATAAAATAGGCTTACAATTGAGGTGGCTAGGCTATTGTGAAATGAATATATGTTATAAATATGTTTTGGATGAAGTAGTGAATGCAACAAGTTATATGTTAAATAGGGTTAATATTGGAGCTAAATTGAATAAGACCTTATATTAACTTCTAAAGGTTAGATCACAAAATCTCTCTCATTTACACATCATTGGGTGTAGATGTTTTATCTTAAATAATAAAAAATATCAATTAGAAAAATTTTGTTCCTAAGGCAAATGAGGTAAATTTCTAGGATATTCTTCTATAAGAAAGGAATATATAGTATTTTTCAAGAGGACACTAATTTTAGAAGAATCAATCCATGTTACCTTTGATGAGTCAGATATGGTTGTCCCTTATATAAAGATATAATAATAGAAGGACATCATTCTAAGAGTTAAAAATAAAGGAAGATGATCATATAGAGTAATAATCAGGGTTTGAGAGTGTATCTTTTCCAAATCATGTCTACAAACTCAAAAAGACACTTT